GAAAAAGAATATGAAAACAAATATATGTATATGTATGACTGAAACATTATGTTGTACACCAGAAATTGAACACAACACTGTAAACTGACTATACTTCAATAAAAGGAATGCAAATTAAAAAAAGGCTCCCCCCATTAAAAAATGAAGAGATCAACTTACGTCTTAGAGAAGTATCTCTTATAAACTTATCTTTAGGTGGCAATATCTGTCACATTATGACAGATCTATATGCCAGAGTGTGCAAAACACAAACACTAATTAAAAGTTCATATCTGTTGGAGACTTAAAGTTTTGGGATACAAACTACAGGACTGTATTTTCTTGTTTTTTGGTTGTTCTGGGGGGGTAATTAGGTTTCTTTATATATTTATGTATTTATTCATTTATTTTAATGGAGGTACTGGGGATTGAACCCAGGACTTCATGCATGCTAAGAAAGCACTGTATCACTGAGTTATACCCTCCCCTACAACGTCATATTTTCTATATATTACCTGTATCGTATTTTTATAGTTGGCAAACAAGCATTTCGTATATACATAAGTGCATTTATTAAATATTTACTACAGAAAAAAAATTAAAGCACATATTTGCAATATACCTAAACTACACCTGGCACATCATGGAGGCTCAATAAAACTTATTGGAAATGTACTGAAGTAGCGTATGCCACAAAATGGTAGACAAAGAATTACAAGTCAGATTCCATTTCTACAAAAAAAAAAAATGCCAAGACGGCAATACAACACAATGGTTTCAAGAGTGGTAGTAAGATTATAGGCTTTGGATTCAGACAAACCTTGGGTTCAAATCTCAGCTGCAATACTTTATAGCTGGCAGAGTTATTTAATCTGTGTAAGTGTCTCCTCATCTGTAAAAGAGGGATGATACCCACCTCATAAGGTTGTATGGCTGATGAAATGGTAGTTACAATTTTTAAATAATGTAAATTGCCCAAATCCCACAAATAGTCCATTTTTTCTTCCAAGTCCTAGACCAAATCAACCCAAATGTCTTGAGGATGAGGCAGAGGCCTGCACATTTTTAATAGTTTTACAAATAATTACGACTAGCACTCTCATTTAGGAATCACTGTCCTAGAGCCTTATTAACAAAGCTTTACCTGAGTCCAAGGTAAGGAACTATCATAAAGATAAAACAGCTTTAAGACACGATCTTTTGGTTTAGTTCCAAGTTTCTAAGAAAGATCTTTACCCAAAATTTCTTTAACAGAGAAGAGAACCAAACTGCAAAGTTCCTATTTAAAATCCTTTCCAAAGCCAGGAAAAATATAATTCCACATTGAAATTTTACATCAAAGTAAGGTATACCTTAGCCTCTTTGTATTCATTACTGAATAATTTTAATACTGAATACTTCAAATGTATGTATAGATACACAGTATACCCAAGGCTGTATACAATAATGATATTCAAGTTCTTCTACGATGTTTCTTAAAAATAAGTTTAAGTTTATAGTTTAAATCCATTCATGCTTCACTCAAATCCCCCAATAAACTTTTTATCCAACATTAAAATGTGTATCTCACAAGCGTTCTTACTGAAGACTGAAGGCACCAAAAGCAAATTCAGTATTCCACAAGCAAACCTGAAACCCTATTAATTCTCCTAATAAAACATTTTAGAGAAACATATAGAACAAAAACACAAACACAATCATGAACATGTCATTCTAAAAGAATCAGTGTGAAATAATTAAAATCTCTGGAAAAAATGAACAGTAGAACCATAAAACTTCTTCAAAATAAGCATACCAAAAAAAGTTTAGAATGGCTGTATCAGAGTATGCCAGTTGCAGGTAAACTGAAAACAAGCAAGAAAATGAATCTTTCTTAAAAGACTCTTGTTATTCCCAAGAAGAAAACTGAAGGGAAATCAAGGGCTAGGGCAGACAATATACACAGACCTCACTTTTGTATAGATTTTACAGATTTAGACACAAGACAGACATGTTTCAACTACTTACAACAGTGAAGCTTATGAATGACTAACTTTTGCTAACTTGAAAAGTGTTTAAATTCAAGCTTTCCTACAACAGTACAAAGGCACTGTATCAGAGACTGGTGAAGTCTTATTTAGATGAGCCTAAGTACCAATGCATTTATAAATGCAATTTTAAAAAATAAGTGCCTCACACAGAATATTAGCTTTGGATATGGTGTAGTAGAAAGTTATGTACAGAACTCTATAAATCCCAGATATTCACTTATATATGTAAGTGAAAAGAAACAACAGTTTTGACTTAAGCTTTTTAAAAGTTGTATTTTAAAAAACCCAACAGAATATCAAAGAACAATTCTAAAACACTGAATTGACTAACAGGTGTTAATTTATAATTAATTTTTCAAGACTTGATAAAGTGTCAAAATACATGTTTTCTTACTTTTTGAAAATTTAACTTTACCCCACTTTGTAGAGTCAAATAAAAGTCGACTAGTTCAAAATCAAACTGAAGGAATACATATATATGTATGTGTTTGAGGACACCCTTTTTAAGCTAATCCAATCTTCCTTCTTTCAACACTACATTTTCCTAACCATTCAACCTAGGCATATATGACATGTATGTCAGCGAACACTACTACTTACACTCTAAATATATACCAGTTTGAAAAACAGGTGCAGCACTATTTAGATGCAAGCTTTTTTTTCTTCTAAGCCTAAATTTGCCTTGGAAAGGGATTTAAAAATAAACACAAACACCCAAGAGTTAAACAATCTTCTTAAAAAGATATAGCCATTCAGAATTCCAATACATAAGCCCTTAAACTACCAACACCTTCCAAAAGTTAGGTAAACCAACCTATCACAAGTTTCACCTTAAGATCGAGTCCGGCTCAATTCTGAAGGATCCCGAAGACATTTAACTCTGCTTCCCCTGCGTGAGTTAGTAATATCAGAAAAGTACGTTTTACTTCAAGCTAATATTAAATCTTTTCTTGGTCGTTTCATAAACACAGCACAGATAGTCTGCTTTGGCTTTATATGGGTAAATAAGGGAATGGCGGAGAGGGACGTCTGAGGAAGGGTACTCTAAAAAGAATTCCGTATAGAGAAGCGTTGATGAGTTAGTCACTAAGGAAGAACTCAAAGGCAATCTAAGTGACTAAGGCAGCATCCCAGGTAAGAATGTACTTAGAGTTGGCGATAGGAAATGAAAACTTCACAGGTCAGCCGCAAGCCGTTGTGCTCCGTAGCAGCCCTGGAAAGAAGCGTGGCTGTCAAAGAGTAAGGGCTACCAACTCCGGGGGGGGGGGCAGACATGCCAAATCCGAAAGGGGGGTGACCGGGGAAAAGGTGGTAAAATGCCCATCCCAGTCTCTCTCCTCGCGTTGCGCATCTCAAGAGGTACAAACAAGAGCAAGCTCAGGGCCCATTAGCCCCACGCCGGACTCTCCCACAGAGGAACTCGGCCCCAAGCCCCGGAGGCCCCGGCAGGCCGCCTCCGGAGGAGCCCCCGCAGACGCCATACTAAAAGCCAAAATGGCTGCCCCAAGGAAGCCCGCACCGCGCAGCTAGTGAGGGCTGGGTAACAAGCTTCTGCGGGAAAGGGGGAGGGGGACTCTAGGAAGAGCCGTCGCCAGGTACATCGCCCCCCGAGCCTCACAGGTAGGTTCCTCTCGGCCTCCCAAGGCCTCAAGTCCGACTGAGGGGAGTCCCAGCCCCACCCCCCCCGGCGGGGGAACCCCGCCGCAGCAGCCGTCCCGCACACCGACCCCAGCGAGGTACCTGCAGTTCGGCCCGCTCCACCTCCCAGTGCGCCCGTTCCATCTCGAACCGAGCCCACTCGTGCTGGATGTAGTGCAGGATGCCCGGGATAGTGTACTGCTGCGGCCGGGACAGCTCGGGGCCTGCCGCGGGACCCGCTCCCTCGGCGGCCGGAGGACCCCCGCCGCTCGCCGCTCCATTCCCCACTGGCGAAAGGCTCATGTTCCCCCCAGGTCCCTGCTGCTGCCGTGGAGGGGCCGCCATCCCCGGGCCGCCACCACCGCCTCCGGCGAGCTCGTCCATTGTGTGTGGGGCCCCGGCCGGGGCGCAGGGCGAGACGCCGACGGCTGGGGGAAGGGCCGGGGAGGGTGGCCCCGCGCTGGCGGCGGGGCGGAGGCCGTCTGGGAGAGGGGCGGGGAGGGGGTCGTTGCTGTATGCCTGCCGTGGGTCAGAGCAGGGAGCTGCCGGCTGCCGCCATTACAGTCCCTCCTCCATCTGCCCGTCTCACTCACTCACTTTAGGGGAAGGGGGGGCCGCGGCGGGAGGGGAGAGAGGGGGCAGGGTTGGGGAGGGGATAGACGTAGGGCTGCCGCTCCCGCACAGCATGCCGGGTAGAGAACGCCGGCTGCCGCCGCTCGCCCAGTAGCCAAATAGAGTCCGGCCTCACCCTACGCAGGCGTACTGAGGACGCAGTCAGGGTTGCCGTTAGAGGCGGGGAAGGAGCTCCGGCCCCGCCCCTAGGCCCGCCCTCAGACTCGCTGTGGGTGTCTGGCGGAGGGGCCCGGGACCTGGGCCGCCGACTCCGACCTTAGAAAGTCGGCTTCTGCGTTTCCAGCAAGCCGTTTCCCTCGCTCAGTCAGCCCCTAGCGTCGTTCCCCACCCAAGGGTCTCAGCGGCGAGTCGGCCTTAGGAGCTGGGTTTTAACCTGGCTGATCGCTCTGGCCGGCCGCAGCCGGTCTCGGATTCCTGACGTTTCTTTTGCATTCCTTGCGTGTCTCAGGCAGTCCCAGAGGGTCGGGCCTGTCACTCGCTCTTTTCTCTGGTTTCTTAGCACCAGTCAGTTCTCGGGGCTTTGGGGACATTCCCTTTTGGCAAGTAGCCCAGATCCTTCCGGACGTGGCGACTGATTCCCTGTCTCCGGGCTTTGGTCCCAATTCTGTGCTCCCGGTCGCACGTCACAACTTGTTCCAATTTGCCTCCCTTCTTTCCTATTCTGGGGTGGGTTGTATTTGGGGAATTTGGGAGGGGAGCAGGAGCGATTGTTTTTTTCTGTTGGGAGAGGGGAAGATGAAAAATTTTAGATCTTGGCAGTGAGCAGAGGGAGAAAGAAAACTTTGAAGGAGACTGGTAAGACTAACAATTTGATGTTGTAGAAGTGAATGAGCTCACAAATACTGTCATTTTTAGAAGAATCTTTTGATGGAAGTAGAAAATCAGAGCATTGTGAATACAACTTACAATCATAGATGAATGGCTAAAAATGTTTTCCTGGATTGTTTGAGTGAATATAATGTACATGTAAAACACAAGTGTGTTTTCATGTGCTTAGGTTGCCAGGAAAAGCCCTTAATGAACTGGTAAGTTTCTAAATGATAATGTAGCTAATAACCATTTGGTTAAAAAATAGGAAAAGAATAATATTTGACAACATAATAAGGAAGAAAGATTAATTAATTACAGCTATGTAGGAAAATCACATATAAAATTGACTGCATTTGAAATATTTTTCTTCCCTACTACCAATTAAGTTTTCATTATGGAATATATACGACCACTCATAGTGTAATTTCAGAGAAATTAAGTAGTACATCTTATTTTATCATGTCTGCTTTACTGTTATTATTTAATGGAGAGAGGATTGGACTTGTTACCTGTGCTGCCGTGTTTTAGTTATATACGAAATGAGGTCCGAGAGCACAGCATTATTAAGTACTATTTCTCCATTTTATAGCAGCCAGTATACAACCTGCTTATTCAATCCTGTTCCTTTTTGAGGGGCCTCATAGCACATAAAAAATTGAGAAATACTATGGTGCCTCAAGACCAGTATACACCAAGAAGCATTTAGTGAGAGGGTGTGGCTGACCTCCATTACTTTGGCATCAAAAGAAGAGGAACATACACATTTATATATCCCACTGATATGTCAAGCTTAAGTAAAGACTGGATTTATAATTCTTCTTTTTCTTTCCCACCGAACTTCAAAAAAACAAACTCTCCTCTTCTATTGCCTGTCATGTTAAGTGGCACCACATCCAAGCCTGAGGACTGGCAGTCATTCTAATACCTTTCCTTCACTCAGCTCCCTCCTTCAGTCCCTTTCTCAGTAACATCTTTTATATCTAGTCCATTACCTTCATACATGTCTTAGCTTAAAGCTTCCCACCTCTACTCTTCCCTGGCCTTCTACTACCACCAATGTCTGAGTCATCTTCGAAAGGCAGATCTAATCCTGTCATTCCCTGCTTAAAATATTTTAGTGATCTCTAGTTTTAGAATAAAACCCAAATTTTAGCATAGCATGTACATGTCCTTCAAATTCTGGATCTTCCTTATTGCCTCACCTACCATCATTATCATCATGGTAACCCATTCTTCTCTCCAGCTAAACTGTACCATTTTGGGTTCCTCAAATGCAAAATGTTCATTTCATCCCACAAGAATTTAACACATGCTGTGTCTCATTGGCTTTCCTTCCCTTCTTTCTTAAAAACTCAGCTCAAGTATTTCTTCCTTCAAGAAGCTTTCTAGATCCCTGAAGTTTTAGACATCCTATCTTAATAGTATTCCATGCTTATTTCTTAATACTTGTTACATCGTGTAGTCTAAATACGTACTCCTCAGTGACAGTCATACTAAACATTGTGAAAACAAGACCTGTATACAACAGATACTGAAAATCTTTGCTACACTCATTTACTTTTTTAAAAAATTTTTTGATTGGCTACTATTTTTCAGATACTCTGTTAGTCCTTGGTGATCCATTGTGAACCAAACAGACATAATTTCTGCCTTCACATATTTTCCAGTCTAGTTTTAGGCAAATTACTTAGTACCAATCACCCTGACTTCCTCAGTATCTTGTCCAGATCCATCTTAAAGATTTCTCTTGTGCTTCCTCTTTGAAGAGTTCCAATCGAACATGTCTACATTCACTCTAACCATGGTTTTATAAATGTCAACAATGCAATTCTAATTCATATTCTTCCCAGATCACAGTTAGTAATCTGCAGGATTGTAACCTCCTAGAGGGGCAGGACCCATGCCCCACTTGTTAGGAACTGTACCCCCAGTGTCTGGAACAGTGAGATAATAAATGTTTGATGAATAACTGAAATTCAGACTAGACTAATATGAATATTTTTCCCTCACCTCAATTTTTTTTTACTAGTTTTTGCTACTGTTGTACCAATTATCTTTTGAGGTTCAATGATCAGAACTGTTCTGAGTATTAAAAGTAAAAGACACCAAGAGTTTCTCCTCTGTTGGGAGATTATGTTTTACACTACTGACATTGTGCTTTGTGTACATGATTCTTGAGGACACTCTGCAGTGAGCGCCTAGAATCCTGTCCTCTCTAGGTAATGCACTTTCCCAGGCTGTATTGTCACTTACAACCAACCTAACTGGAATTCCCTCCCTAAACTGTGGCTGAGTCATTTCCTCTCTTCAGTCTCACCTTTGGTCATCTATGTAATGGAGATAATAGTCCAAACATCATGAGTTTGAGTAAAGGAATAAATGAAGTAAAAGAAAAAAAACTCACCTTTGAAAACTTCGTATTTGTTCTGTCCTTTCAGCAGTCTTGTTCATCCCTCCTCCACTCCCACTGATTCTCTCAGTTTCAATATACTGCTGATCTTCAATCATCAAAGGAGCAGCAGTTTATATTTATTTATACATGTGTGTGTGAATGCCTATATCTTTACTCAGTTTAGAATTTTAGGAATTTTTCCCATTAGCTAATCTTAGACACCTCTGTGCTTATTCTATCTGACCAAAAAGGGACCTGTCATACTTCATGTGCATCTATTTTATCAGCAGGCTTTTAAATAAGTCGGAGTAGTTAACACTTAGATACCTTCTTCCCAATTATTGCAATACCTAGTGTACAGAGTGTTTTGACCCTGCCTTTGAGAATAATATGACTTCCTGTAATTACTCACCTGAACATCGTTTCATGCCTTACGAATGAAGTACCTGACATCCTTCTAACAAAGAGCTCAAAGGGGTTCACAAACACTAATCATCTTGTTGCATCATCTGAAAAGATTGTGACAAGTATCCTTATCTCCATGAGGAAGAGAGAAAGCTGAGATAAGAGTTCTTGGTCACTTCCACAACGCTTAGTAGAATAGGAAGTGTTCCTACTCTTACATCAGTGAGTATATATGTTTATTTAGAAACAAGAAATAAAGCTTCCCTTCACAGTTCTGCCTCCTACTGTCCTATCAATGGATTCAGTATTACTGTCTCTGGCTCCCAAATCATTTGCACTTTTGAAATCATTTTTTAGGTAGTTTTAGGGTGATCCAGTCACTTGGGAATTACATAGTGTTTATATTTATAAATACAGAGAACAAATAAATATTAGAGCCCAGAGAAAGATCTTTGAGAAGAGTTGGCATGTGTTCAAATACCAGAGAAGCAACTGGATAATGCAGATGGAACAGAAAATGAGGCAGCTTTGACCTGCACCGTGGTTTAGCCTGCATAATAAGATCAGATAGCTACTTCACGTTAAAGTAGTTGCCTGTGGCTAAGAAAATTGTAGAAGTACATGGAGGGGTACCTGAACTATTTAAAGAGCATATGGTGTGGAAAGAAAAGGAAAAGGACCTTCACAGATTATAGAAGAATAGGCACCAAAACCTTTAGGAAACTCAGCATGCTACATAAAA